TATAGAGCCAAAGATGTTAGAATTGTGTCAATGTCCCAATATTTCTGGACCTGACTGTAGTACCTTAAAAGCTAACAGATTTTTACTTCATAAGCTTTCATGGATCACAGGCCCCTTTACTAAATGCTTGATGCAAGCTCTAACCGCAAAAGTTTATGCAGCAATTAATTTGTTTGTTTTTAAGGTGCTACAAGGTTCTGTTGTTTTCTTAAGCAATGGTGAGGTTGTGTAAATATTAATTTATTAGACAGAACCTCCTATTTATACATTACTTCCTCATATGTTGGTACAATTTAGAGAACAAAGAGATTCTGGCCATGTGTTGGGAAAGCTTTAGTACAACTGGACACATTAGTCATGGAAACCTCTAGTCCTGGGTTTTGTCAAGTTAAAATGTGTTTGTTACAAAGATCTGACTGTTCAAGTTTGGCCAACTGCCTTGTTGGAAATAAATGTTTTTTAGCTTCTAAATGAAGCTCAGGCTTCTTCAAAGAAAAGTGCCCTTTTGCCTCTTTTCTCAGCTAAACTGATCTTCTGTTGATCCCTCTTCATCTTATCTAAAGCTCATATCCAGAGTTTAGATCAGCAAAGGCAGTCTTTTTTTCCCAGCAAAGGCATTTTCTTTTGTTCTTTAAGTTCAGTCTTCTCTAAGTACCTGAAGAGTAGGAAGCTCCTCCTACTGCAGAATACTGATCTTTGGAATCAGCAATCCAGGTTATTTGGGAGTTGCAAGAAAACTGCAAAAATCAGCAAAAAAAATTAATCCTTGATGGAATTATGTTGAGAGAGTTTGGGATAAGAAGTGTTTGTCATAACTAACCACATTTGTATGTTTGCCGAGATAACAACCCGGGTGCGTCACCAGGAGTTGAGATCAGTTTGAGTCCCGTTATTCTCCTTTTCATATTTTCATGTAAAGGACCAAGTAATGAACTGCAGGAAGGAAGTATGGAGCCAGGAGATGGAGCTCTGCTAGTAGACCTGTAGAAGGAGTGGAGGTTCAGGGATAGCTTGTCCTGA